TATATAAGAAATAAGCAATATGTTAATAAAAATCTGCATTTTGTATTGTAAATTTTTGTGTACCACACATAATCCTTTTCACATTTCGAGACAATTTCCAAATTATCTGATATTTTCCTCTATAAAGCTATTTCTTTGTCACCTATCGAATTTTCCTTTGTAAATAATAAACAACATTGATACTGTGATGACAACAGTTTACATAATAAGTTTAATAATATAAATAAAATAACAAATGATTGAATTTTTACAACACCTGCGACACAGTTATTGGAAAACACTAATTATAAATTGACAACATCATCGACAAAATAAAAACATTTAATGAATATTTTTTTAACAGCGGTAACGTATCCCATGTTCAACATTATTGGTTCTTATACTAAAAATCCGCATTTTGTATTGTAAATTTGTGTGTACCACACATAATCTTTTTTACATTTCGAAATAAATTTTCGAAGAAAGTTTCCAAATTATCGGATATTTTCCTCTATAGAGCTTTTTCTTTGTCAGGTAACGAACTCACCTCTTTGAAATTACAAACTAACTTGCACTGGTTTCACAAGGGATGCATTGATATCAAACGAGTAGGACTCGAACCAATGTTGCCAGGATTGTAATCTTTACCACAATAACTAACACCCTCCTCTCTGACAAATAATTCATATATAACAACAGATACAACACTAATAAGAACATGTAAAACAATGATTTGATACAATTGCACCTTCTCGGCTCTTTCAAACTTCGGATAATAACCTCGAAAAGAATATGAGAATACACAGCACTATCACAAAAACAACATTGATACTATGATGACAACATTTTACATATTAATAAGTTTAATAAAATAACAAATATTAATAAAATAACAAATGATTGCAATTTTTACAACATCACTCACACAGTTATTGAAAACACTGATTAAAAATTGACAACATCATCTTCAAAATAAAAAATGACTTTATTTTTTTAACAGCGGTAACGTATCCAATGTTCAACATTATTGATTCTTAAACTAAACATCCGCATTTTGTATTTTAAATTTTTGTGTACCACACATAATCCTTTTCACATTTCAAAATAAGTTGCCGAAGAAAGTTTCCAAATTATCGGATATTTTCCTCTAAAGAGCTCTTTCGGTGTCAGCTATCAAATTCTTCTCATTGAACTAACTAACCTGTACTGGTTTCACAAGGGGTAAATTCATAATACCCGAGCAGGACTCGAAATAATGTTGTCAGGAATTTGAGGCAAAACTTATCTACGATAACTACGACTCCACCTCTCACAAATTTTTCATATACAATAACAGATACAACACTAATCGATGATTTTACACGATCACACCTTCTCGACCCTTTCCGTCAAACTTCGGATAATAATCTCGAAAACAATAGTAAGAATACACAGAAATTTAACAATAAACAACCATAATACTATGATAACAACATTATACATTATTAGGTTAATAATATTAATATAGTAACAAATATTAACAAAATAACAAATGATTGAATTTTTACACCATCAATCACAAAAATATTGGAAAAAATTGATTATAAATTGACAACATCATCGACAAAATAAAACATTTAATGAATATATTTTTTAACAGCGGTAACGTATCCCATGGTTAACATTGATTCTTATACGATTTTATGAATATTGAATAAGTAAAATACCATTAAAATTGACAAAATAGCAACCACAATAGCAGAACAAACGTATTTAATTTAAAAACATGAAAACAAAAATGATTTGTCACAATCGCAACTTCTCTGCCCTTTCTGACGGACTTCGAACACAATAGTAAGAATACACAGAACGGATAAGGTATGTTGGTCTGTCTAACCTACGCTAAGTAAATAGGAATTTAATGCCAAGAGTTGTTGACTTATTTTTTCCCAAATAAATCGAGTACAAATCAACATTAATAAAGTAAATTCATAGATATAAAAGAGGACAGTACATTTTTCATATACTTATTATGGTGGTTGTAGAAACTTGTTGACATAAATTTGGGGTTGATTTTCAGTTGGCATTTTTAAATTGATAATGGCTGGAAGACATATTTTAAATCATTATTTTACCTTAATTTACTTCTATATATTTCTTTGGATGTAAGCTACAAATATTTGTAACATTTTATCAAAGACTGCGCCCTCTGATCTTTATTATATCTAAAACCACGTGGAAGAACTATATTTGTGAAATTTCAATCCGTATTAAGTCTGAGATTATTTTAGATAAAGGCCGAGTTGTTCCGATTGTAATTTGACACAGTATGATATTTTTATGACATGATGACGGTTCAATTAACTTCTATGTACAAAGATATCTAAAACAAAAACAATACGTCACTTGAAATTTAAAATATATATTCACATAAAAAGTAAAAAAGTAATTTCAATTTCCTATTCACGTCATCCCGTACGAATGAAATGTCTCTACTGTTGACAGTGTAGAAGCAGTATGTTGCTCCAACACTTATTTCTGTATTACTGAGTACATATGCATCTTAACAGAGACAACTTCCATATATTGAATACCACTCTTTACTTTAAACCCTTTTCACATTTTAAGATAAGTTTTCGCAGAATGCTACCAAATTGGCGAATATTTTCCTGTAGAGCTCTTTCATCAGCAGCTAAAGACGCTTTGGAATCGATCACAACAATTGGTTTGTTAACCTGTTGACAAAATATAAAATTGTAACTAATTAGGGCTGATGACGCTGTGCATTAAAGTAAAAAATATTAAAAGAAAACGGGAGGAAGACCAGATATATACAACCAATGGTAATATTATTATTTTTCTTCATTATAAGCATATTTGCGCAATAATTGATACGCTTCTACAAAAACATATAATTATGAACAGCTTCATAAAAACATTAAGGGTTTCTGGGTAAAAGATTGAAATATCATCATTTTGACGTATATAAGATAAACTCCAAGAGATGTTTTAATATCAATAATGATTTTTCTTTTTTAATTTCTGATAATTTCAACAATTTGACTTTACACCAAGCAATAATTTCAACAATGCATGTGAACATGTAGGGACTAAATGTTTTGATTAATCACGTAATTATCAATGACAATACATATATAACTGAGTTTTATTGTATACAATTTGAACAGCTAATGAGTGCTGTAGACAATATCAATGGTTTTCCCGGTGTTATGCGATTAGATGACTTTTTTCAATCAAACGTTACTAAATATTTATTGACAAATAACTTAAAACTAGAATTCTAGTATATAATATACAATATATCAACTTACAAAACATAAATCTATATTGTTGTCCTCTATGTTTTATTATCATTGTTATTGTTTGTTTTTAGTCAATATCTAATCACAGTGACCTATATTTCATCTATATGTTTGGATATTGGATTTGCTCATGTTTTTGTAAATCATAAAGTATGTTGTATCGTAAAAATAAATTGACATTGAAATTGCTTACAAAATTGTGTTACAGTAAGTACCTTTGTTTTATACACTTGAATGTAAATGTTTTCCTCACATATCTGATCTATAGCAATATAATGTTCATGCAAAAGACGTAGATAATCGGCAAGTTCTTTGCACAGAGCCGCAACAACATTGACTGACAAGCAACTGTCGTCATTAAGAATTTCTTGAATACTGAGTTTCGTCCCAGCTGGTACAAGTTCACTTATCATCCGCACAGATCTGCTAAATTGCTGGTATTCCAAAATGGCGGTACCAATTTCTAAAAAAAAGTACTCGTTCAATTGAGCTATACATTATTGTAAATTATTTATGCCGGAAACTGCCGTTATTATATAAGTATACAACCATTATATTTTAATTGGTTATCTGCATTTCTAACACCTTGAACAACAGTCTATGCAGTGCTACGTTTATCATATTGACATCGTTCGAATATTTGTAAACTTGAAAGATACTCCACACAGGTTGTTTGACATTCCGGAATTGGAAATTATTGTTCGAAATTAATGTTCCATTTGATGCAGGTCGAGAACATTATCTTGTGCACAAAATTTAGATCGTTCACATACTCCATCGTTTTAGAATTATTTTTCTGTGCATAAAATAATCAACATTTGGAAAGCGATGCAACGAATTTCGCTCAAATCGGTTTAAAATAGAAACTGATTTTCAAATTTATCTGAACATATTTCTCAATCATCGTTTGTGTATCTTTCTGTTTAATGTACTCCTGCTGAATTATGTAGGAAATTGAACTGTTATGTTATAGGCTTTAAACGTCGCGTTTATAAATATCTGGATAAGCTACGAAATGGTAGTCAACGACTTATTTAGTTGGACGCTGATAAGAAATTATTGTTACGTCACAAACAATTACAGTTCTACATCTTTCGTCTCTCCTTTACATCTATCGAGACCATTTATTTTTCTTATTGTCTTGATATTACATAGCATATTATTAACTTTTTAAAATATTCTCCCCCCGCACCCCCCAAAAAAAGACAACAACAAATAAAGAATTATATAACTGAATCTGATAACAGCTAAGTACTTACCTTTCTGGACGTTTTTTCGACTCTGCTCATCAAGGCTGGGATTAAAACTCTAAAATACAAAGTGGAACACTTAATTCAAATAAAACTATTGCTCAATTGCAAAAAACATAACATCTTAATCGTCCGTATTAAAGGCACTACTATCACTTATTTAATATTAAAAACTTAAACACAGATATAATGAATTACTAAAATCATTAAATTATAGTAAATAACAGGTAGAATTAATTACAGATTTAACAAATTCATTCGACAAAGGTATTATAGCACTACATGTATGTATTTTCGACATTTTAATTTCGTACAACACGCTTGAACGATGTAATCTAGCCTTTTCACCCACCGAAATGCAGTATAAGATGTTTAAAATTAAATTCATCTTTTAACATCGATTAATATACGAAAATGAATGAACAATGTAAAAATAGGCGAAAAAAGCGATATTTTTTCTACTTTCTGATCATAATGCCTGCAGACGTCTTGAGGTATTGCTCCAACACTGTAATGAGTTAAATGGTTTTTGTAATACTTAATTTATACTTTATAACCAGATTAGATATATTGTATGATCACTATTTATAAACGATTAGACCTCCTTTCCTGTTTACAATTATGCAATCCTCTTACTTTATTAAACATGCAACTATTTAGATTTATTTAACACTTTTGCGGATATAAATAGTTGAGCTAGTTATCTCAGTGTAACATTTTTGCTGTTAACACATATCCGTGCCGCTTTTGCGACCCCGCAAAGACAGTATTGAACGGACGTGAATATATACGTGACATCATTTGCATGACACAAACATAGCGTAAAATGTAGATTGAATATATCATTCGTGTAGGTTCATTACTGAAATTATTGACTCGTTTATTAAAACAACATTATGCTTGCCAGAAACTCTTCTATTTTTATTTACACACAAATGCTCGAGATCAATATATTCCCCCATCTGTTACGACAGTCGGTGTTTGATTATTTTTCTTGCATATTTCATATAAATTATTTCTTGAAAGAAATAACAAAAGCATATATTTTTATTTATCTTTTTTCTTATGGTAGCGTATTTACTTACGTCACAAAAAAAATTTTGATTTTCATCCTAAAAACGAAATTCATTGATAATTTTAAAAGGCGCGCTGGATACTTTCCTTTTAAAAACACCAAACTATTTTAACACGGGTGGGGGGTGTAGACTTTTTTTCTAGCCCCAATTTAACGTTTAAAATTTCCTTCCCTGTTTTTTCAAAAAAAATTTAAGGGGACATTTGAAATCTTTTTTTCTTCGGGAAAAATTTAACCAACTAACTTACCTTCTTCCCGATTACTGCTGTCACGGTATACAAAAACGGGTTTAGAGCAGAGTTTATTGGTAAAATGAAAACAACTGACCATGCATAAACATCACCAGGAATCGGAAATCCGCTCAAGGCTAAAATACCTGAAAAGGAATAGTATCGAGAAGTTAGCACTGACATCGAAGATCGAAGATCGAACTTCAGTTTATAGTGAATATCGAGCTACCTTTGAACTTCGAGCTAGCTCGAAGATCAAAATTCAAAGAAAACAAGAACTGAATTTCGAGCTGGAGTTGAATTTCGAGCCAGCTCGAAGATCGAAATTCAAAATTTTCAAAACCCGAATTTCGAGCTGGAGTTGAATTTCGAGCGAACTCGAAGATCGAAATTCAATATTTTCAAAGCCCGAATTTCGAGCTGGAGTTGTATTCCGAGCCAGCTCGAAGATCGAGATTCAAAATTTTCAAAGCCCGAATTTCGAGTTGGGGTTGAATTTCGAGCCAGCTCGAAGATCGAAATTCAAAATTTTCAAAACCCGAATTCGAGCTGAAGTTGAATTTCGAACCAGCTCGAAGATCGAAATTCAAAATTTTCAAAGCCCGAATTTCGAGCTGGAGTTGAATTTCGAGCAAGTTCGAAGATCGAAATTCAAAATTTTCAAAGCCCGAATTTTAAGCTGGAGTTGAATTTCGAGCCAGCTCGAAGATCGAAATTCAAAATTTTCAAAGCCCGAATGTCGAGCTGGATTTGAATTTCAAGCCAGCTCGAAGATCGAAATTCAAAATTTTCAAAAACCTGAATTTCAAGCTGTAGTTGAATTTCGAGCCAGCTCGAAAATCGAATTCAAACTTTTCAAAAGCCGAATTTCGAGCTGGAGTTGAATTTTGAGCCAGCTCAAAGATCGAAATTCAAAATTTTCAAAAACCCGAATTTCGAGCTGGAGTTGAATTTCAAGCCAGCTCTAAGATCGAAATTCAAAATTTTCAAAACCCGAATTTCGAGCTGGCGTTGAATTTCGAGCCAGCTCGAAGATCGACATTCAAAATTTTCAAAACCCGAATTTCGAGCTGGAGTTGAATTTCGATCCAGCTCGAAGATTGAAATTCAAAATTTTGAAAAACCGAAATTTCGAGCTGGAGTTGAATTTCGAGCCAGCTCGAAGATCGATAGTCAAACTTTTAAAAAGCCGAATTTCGCGCTGGAATGATATTTTGAACCAGCTCGAAGATCAAATATAAAATTTTCAAATCCCGAATGTCGAGCTGGAGTTGAATTTTGAGCAAGCTCGAAGATCGAAATGCAAAATTTTCAAAACCCGAATTTCCAGCTGAAATGGAATTTCGAGCCAGCTCGAAGATCGATATTGAAAATTTTCAAAACCCGACTTTCGAGCTGCGGTTGAATTTCGAGCCAGCTCGAAGATTGAAATTCAAAATTTTCAAAAACCCGAATTTCGAGCTGGAGTTGAATTTCGAGCCAGCTCGAAGATCGAAATTCAAAATTTTTAAAAGCCGAATCTCGAGATGGAGTTGAATTTCGAGCCAGCTCGATGATCGAAATTCAAAATATTCAAACCCGAATGTCGAGCTGGAGTTGAATTTCGAGCCAGCTCGAAGATCGAAATTAAAAATTTTCAAAGCCCGAATTTTAAGCTGGAGTTGAATTTCGAGCCAGCTCGAAGATCGAAATTCAAAATTTTCAAATCACGAATTTTAAGCTGGAGTTTAATTTCGAGCCAGCTCGAAGATCGAAATTCAGAATTTTCAAAAACCAAAATTACGAGCTGGAGTTGAATTTCAAGCCAGCTCGAAGATCGAAATTCAAAATTTTCAAAAACCTGAATTTCAAGCTGTAGTTGAATTTCGAGCCAGCTCGAAAATCGAATTCAAACTTTTCAAAAGCCGAATTTCGAGCTGGAGTTGAATTTTGAGCCAGCTCAAAGATCGAAATTCAAAATTTTCAAAACCCGAATTTCGAGCTGGAGTTGAATTTCAAGCCAGCTCTAAGATCGAAATTCAAAATTTTCAAAACCCGAATTTCGAGCTGGCGTTGAATTTCGAGCCAGCTCGAAGATCGACATTCAAAATTTTCAAAACCCGAATTTCGAGCTGGAGTTGAATTTCGATCCAGCTCGAAGATTGAAATTCAAAATTTTGAAAAACCGAAATTTCGAGCTGGAGTTGAATTTCGAGCCAGCTCGAAGATCGATAGTCAAACTTTTAAAAAGCCGAATTTCGCGCTGGAATGATATTTTGAACCAGCTCGAAGATCAAATATAAAATTTTCAAATTCCGAATGTCGAGCTGGAGTTGAATTTTGAGCAAGCTCGAAGATCGAAATGCAAAATTTTCAAAACCCGAATTTCCAGCTGAAATGGAATTTCGAGCCAGCTCGAAGATCGATATTGAAAATTTTCAAAACCCGACTTTCGAACTGCGGTTGAATTTCGAGCCAGCTCGAAGATTGAAATTCAAAATTTTCAAAAACCCGAATTTCGAGCTGGAGTTGAATTTCGAGCCAGCTCGAAGATCGAAATTCAAAATTTTTAAAAGCCGAATCTCGAGATGGAGTTGAATTTCGAGCCAGCTCGATGATCGAAATTCAAAATATTCAAAGCCCGAATGTCGAGCTGGAGTTGAATTTCGAGCCAGCTCGAAGATCGAAATTCAAAATTTTTAAAAGCCGAATCTCGAGATGGAGTTGTATTTCGAGCCAGCTCGAAAATCGAAATTCAAAATTTTGAAAACAAGAATTTCAATTTTATTGAATTTATTTTAAGAATCAACTTATTGCATCCAATCTTTTCAAAACTGTCAATGTTCATTGACACTGACGTGTATGTTGACGTTACATTACGTTATATTACACTGCAAATGAATTTCCGTAAGTGTTCATCTTTTTAACTTTTCTCAGATTTGTTCTTTTTTTCACATTTGTATTGCCTTAAAAAGAAAACATTCTCAAATTGAAGATAATGAATAAACAAACATCTTTGAAGATACACATTTGATACATGTTCTTTAAATTTTGTCCTTTACATCAAGTTTAGTTGGTTTCTTTCAGTGCAGGACAGTTCCATTCGAAGAAAATTCGGAAAATTTGAGTAGGTTCTTTTGTCTGTACTTGCTACGGACACTGTCGAGGCTCTTTTGGTGTTTATATGTTCTGTTCACTGACCATATAATCAGTATGCAATTGATATGTTGATAAAACCGGAACATATTACATTTATGTAAAGCTTTACTTTTTTATGTTTTCTGACAAATGTCAGATCACACTATTTCCTTCCTTTAAAAGAAAATGGTAATTCAGGATTACATCTTGGTTCTTTATTTTTGTATACAGAATCCGTATTTGCAAGAATACGATGTTTTGTATGCTAGGAATCGGAGGACTTTTAATAAAAAGATCCGTATTTAAGTAAAGTAAGGACTTCGTACAACAAAATTGCCGTATATTTCGAATGTACGAATAACGATACAAGTCATGTACGTATTGCATGATATACGACCCTGTACACCTCCGTATTTTAAATTTCAGTCCTATTTATAATAATTTATGTAGAGTTCCGTACACTTCGGTATATCTGCAGTGCTCATAATGTCATTTATAGCGGAATTTTAACACAAATATTTATATAAAATAAAAATAAAACATTTTACGTTGAATACAGCAGCAATTAAGATAATGTGTTTGCCGGTGGCGTGGTAGTACCCGTAACAGTTGTCAAGGATACGCAGCGAACGTCAACTTTGACGTCGTGTACAAAAATTGGCTGAAACTATAAAAAAAATTCAATGGAATCTAATCTGAAATATGTCAATATTTTACATGACGCTAGTGTCGCGTTCTACCCTAATTGCATTTTATGTTAATTATTGGCTGAAGTATATATTATAATGTGAAAGAAATTGTTTGGTGGAAATTAATTTGAGTATTTGTGAAAAATATTTTTACATAAGGAAATTACTTACGCGGAGCTATATCTACTTTAAATACAGGCGGTGATGCGGCAAACCTAAATTACATGTTGAAGCTGTTTTGTCGGGAAAAATAATAATGTTACTATCAAAATAATATAAAAAAAATGATAAAACTAGGCTTAAATGGATTATTCGAATATATGGTTGAATCTTGACTCGATAAAGCTCGACACCAAGCATATATCCTGAAGTATCTGAAATACATCTTTTCTTATATGTGTATCTCGTATGTTTTGAAATTATTTTAATTACTCTCCATTATTTGAAAATAAGTACACGTACAATTGTAATATGACATTAGATGCTACCTTTGATGCAGAAAGCCTTCATGATTTAATAACAAGCATAACGTGTTCAATATATACACAGGATCTGTCAAATAATGAGTAAATTTTAAGATACAAATGAATAGGTGATGTTCAGTCTATCAAGGAAGTATTCCGAGTATTTCCAAATCTCTCATCCGCCAATCTCTAACCAAAATAGTTTTTAATATATTCAAACGTAATGATTTATCAAAATTAATATTAAAAAGTAATTTCTTATGTTCATCATCGTTACTTCAGTTCTTTTAAATGATTATAATGTTTATTTACCGATTTTCTACATCATACTTCTACCGGAAGTCTTCTTCAGGACAGAAGACTGCCACTAGCAACAGTCTGAATTTTGTTGGCGCTTTTACAACATGTTTATTTTTCAAAACCGTCTTGAAATCTAATTATTACTCAAATATAGTACCAGTCCAAGAGTTTCAAATTGGCGGCCTCCAGCTAACTAAGGCTTTTTCTCTAATATGTTATAATTAGACATTATATTTTTACTGGATTTAAATGTGATTTCAATTAAACTTATACAAGTCATACATGTTATCTAAGACCGCGTATAATTTTTTTAGATACTATTAATTTTTCTTCGGTTTTCCCCGATAGCGGATGAAAGCGACTTCATAGTAAGTGCGCTAAATTTCACTCTGTCCCTGCTGGTATTAATAGGTTAGTGTAATTCAGGAAATACAAGAAGTATTGAAAAAATAACTTGGTTTTCATCGAGCAAACTCTGTTCTTTGTAAAGGCATTCAAACAAAATGAAGTGTTCATGTATATTTTTGGGACATAAAAATAACCAACGAGTCATATATAAACCCACTGGAAGCTCCA